AAAATACACGAGATAAGTGACGATACGAACACTGATTTATCTGCCTAATCATGGTAATAACGCTACATGACGTAGGTAATTTTGAGGATGGTTTACTACGTTATCGGCGAATTCGAATCCATAATTTTGTTGTGACGTTAACCAATGGCGTTGATCGGAAAAACTCGATAACACGTGCAGTCGATATTCGTACGCTTGCGAGTAGATTGGACATATGTATATGATCGTAAGATACCGTTACGACGATCTTGCGACGATCAGTGAATCGTGTAGAAATAATCTTCGAAGAATTCCAATGTCACGTAACCAAGCATAGTTCGCTATATAGGAACGGGCTTGACGTGTTAAATGCAACGTACACTGTAAAGTCTCGATAACTTTGCACAACGAACAATCAACATGACGTTCCAATTTCGTCACAGAATTGAGTTTCTCAGCTGTATCGATATGTATCGATTTGTGTCGAGCAATTGGACAGCGTCCATCGATCTTTAGATGTACTTAGCACAGGGGTTCTCAATCGATGACCCCGGGCTAGATAAAAATCGGCGATCAACGACATTGATATCGAAAAGCAATTTTCTTTCGAATCTGATATATCTAATCATTTCTTCCCCTCTTGATATCTACTTCCATTATCACCTTCGTATCGAACATCCTTACGGATGTAATTCAATGCAAAAAATTTCTTTTCAAGATTTTTCGAATTTTGAAACAACGATCGTAACGACATTCACAACAGTTAGACAGAAATTGAATCTAAGATGGCGCTTTACACCCGCGAACGTCATTCACAACAATCCCCGATTAATTCAATCTAGATTACGCGCAACGCGATACCGACGCTCAAGCATAAATCCGTGAAGCTTAGCAAGAAATTCATGGTCAACCAGGACTGTCCCACTTTCCGGCAATGTTCACCGCCACATGTCGGCGTCTTATCTGGCGAGCATGTGGGCGTGCAAGCATAACACCGTGCATTCCTCGTAAGTGCAACGACGCGGGCCGCGCCACTTCGTTGAACACAGATGCAAATTCGAGGATCGTTGCGCATAATGCAGCGTGGAGATCTTAAAAGAGCCGGTAAAAATGAGATGAACGATGCGAATAATAAGCCTACTCAGCTGTTTGCTCGAAACGACCGACCTGAAAATTTTGCAATGGTAATTTTCAACCGGCTACTTCGACGTATCAATTGTTAAAGATAAGATATTCAATAAGGAAAACGACTATTATTTGTTTCTTACGTAAAAATCGACACAAGGAAGTAATTATTTTCTATATTATTTTGTGTTTCTTTTCGTACTGTATTACGATAATGAGAAAAGGACAGAAAAATGTGAATTACCCAGTAGTCGCCATCTTTCGGTATTTTTAACTATTACGCGAAAGAGAGATCGTGGCCCTGACTGTGTCAATACATTTGGACGATACAGTGTTGCTACATTCGGTAACGCAGCAAGTACGTTCCTGTCTAATTGCTGTCGAATATATTCCCCCTCGAAAATCGAACAGACTCATCGATCTCTTATCTATTCAGCTGCGTAGGCGTACGAACGCGATACCAGATATTACTGCCATAAGTCGTCGTGTGTACAACGTGTTATTTGAATAAACAGCAGCACGGTATTCCGATACGCATTTGGTGACTCTCCCGGCCAATACTTCATTATTTGTCGATATGGTGTGTACAGGTCACATTGACATAACGATCGTAACAAACAATAAACTGCACAAAATTTATAATTACGTTCGTATTCATCTGATTAAGGTAACCAGAGAATTTCAACTGATGAATAGATGTTTTTAATTTAACGTGCACTTGATACACTTTCGAAAACATACGGTTCAAGGATGAATCAAGATGATTCATCCGGAAACGCGAGTAGAAACAAAGATCACTAGCAGTTCTCGCCAAATTGCTCTAAATATAACATTTCCAACGTGATCGTGAATTCGTCGAATATCAACATCATAATCAGTTCTGTTATCTCCGCAACTATTATCGGTCGTGTAAAAAAATCAAATCTGTCTATTTTACCACACGATTTCTATATATGGTAACAGCTTACCTATAGGATATCAGGTGGCACACGGTGTTTCCCGAAGTTCACCGAGTACACTGTAATTCCTAACGAATTTTTGCGCAGATCCTGGAATCACTTAACAGGAATGACGCAAACACACAGTAGACACAAGATCACGACCCGATAACTTCGCGAGATCCGCGAACGGCTCCGGTGCCATTCGTGCGACAACGACTAATGGTTGCGAGACGATACCCGTAACGATCGTTAAGGACAAACTTAATAATAGTAGCCGGATATTTACTATAGATCGCGAGTCGTCCAATTGGCCGGTCAGAGACGAATTCATGACTGGCGGCCACTTTGTGGATATATCGATGTGCATCGAGCCAAAATCGTCCCGCGGAACGCACGATCGCGACCTACGAAAGGCATGCAAAATGCATCGTGTGGGAGAACGTAATGCGTGTACACACACATGAAAAACGTAACACGTCTTATACGAGGTGGTTCGTTAATGCAACTTTCATTTCCCCGATTCTAGTCGTTTTTGCTTATATTGCAGCAGTTAAGAAGATACTGTTAATGAAACTTGCTAATTTTCTAAACTAACCTCTTTCTTACGACTGATTATTAAATTCACTCATTCGAGAAAACAACCTACATAATAATTTATGTTTTTCAAAGGTGTGCAAGTTAAGTGAAAATAACTCTGTTGTATACACATACGTGATCGCGTGGGTGCAACCTGTGCACGCACGAGAGAATTACACAGCTCGCGTGGTGCTGTCGCTCTCGCCGAGCTTCTTAATCGGTAATTAAGATTATGCAACCTTTGAGATAATTTATTATTTTAAATTTATCTAATTGAAGTAGCCGATATAGACGATTTATAACTGATGAAATTAAGCGATTATCATATTAACACGAGAATGAGAATAAATAGGGAGGTTAGAAAAATTTTCTAACCCTATTGAGGGAGTTGAACTCAGGTTCTTAGGAACGTAAGATTCATATCTTACTAAATTTGCTACCCAAGTCAATATATTAGATTTATTACTTTAATGCCTTAATACAGGGTGGTGACTTAAAGTCACTCTGCAAAATTGTACATTTTATAGATATGATGTTTTTTAGCCATTACGGTGTAATGGTGACGTAATTGAAGTATTATGCCACTAGGGGCCGTCGAACTCGACGCATCGCTTTCCACCTGCATGTTGCTAAACCGAACATCAGAAAATTAAGTCCGTTAGAACAGTTTCCATGAAAATTCGTGTTGTTTCCGTGTCGAGTGAATTAATTAGGCAAAACCATGAAAATGTTTTTCTTGCCGGTAAATGATTTTCTACCGTTGTGTAAAAATGGACACTTATTTCGCGAAGTCTGACGGAAAGATTTCGACGTCGATAAATAATTTCCTAACAATGCATTTGCAAAGAGTATAATATACCGTAATCGTTTCAAGTTTTCACGACTTCGTATGCGTCAGATCGAGTTTCGAGGTTTTAGCTTTCACGAGTGAAAGATATCATCTTCTCTGTTGATAAGGCACTGCAGAACAAAAACAATCGTTTTCAACAGGCCACTCTGACGATTCAAGGAAATATAACCAAGCCTGTGGGCGTTAGAAAATATTGTGCTAAGTAGCTTCACTTGTGCACGTAATTTATTGCTCGAACAAACTCGAGTAAGTCATTCTCACAATAAGAGAACTTTCTTTTTACATTTCAACATCTGCGATATATTTCCAGCACATAACCTTTAGGGCCATTCAGAAGGTTAGGCAGTTCACGAATGCTCGGACATTGCTCCATATGTACTTACAGTGGAAATAATTTTTATGCATGTAACGAGAAAAAAGCCACAAGAAGCGCGTCGAAATCCATTACGCCGCAGGATTACACGTATTGCAATTGCGAACGATAGAGGAGTTTCCCTTTTTGTTTACATAACAGCATACCGTTATGCATGGCATATCTTTAGCAACGACATATCGTACAATTACACCCCAAAAAAAATATATCTACTTAACTGATGTTTAAACATCTGTTATCTACCACCTTCAGTTATACAACAGGAAATTGTAATACAAATGACACGGATATTTAAAAGCACCGGCAACAAAATCACCCATTAAATAGCACAGTGGTATTATCGAAGGGCGAATTTTCGAATACGCGTCGCAGGACATAACCTAAATACAAATCCGTGCTTGCCATCTGATATATTCACTCACCCCTTCACGATTTGGCGCCAGGATAATTCACCGCTTTCCCCTCGGGTGCTGTCTGTTCACGAATTCGGGCAAAATGTCCTCGCATCTAACGTTCACCGACCCATTCCTTGCAGGACATCCTTGCCCCAACCGCACGATCGTTAGAGCGTCGAACAAACACGCGGTAATTCGTTCCTGCCGAATTGCGCGTCCGTGATCGACTTGTATTCGAGACAACACACATCACAACGCGAACCTTATTAGCGCAAGCAACGACGTTCACTGATCAACGCCGGTTACACGAATGCGATTCGCTTTTGTTTACTCTCTCCGAGCGCCGACAGCAGGTGGCGCACAAAGAAGTGGGGATCCCATAGTTATTTTCCTTTTGCACGATGTCGAGACGCTTTTATCGGGACGCCGAGCGTCGTTGCATCGATGGACTTGATTTTACTATTTGAAACGCGGGTGGATACACGTGGTCACGCCCGAAAGGTACGTTCGTGGAATTTCGTTGATAAGAAACGGTAGATAACCAGAGATTATCGAAAGCTCTATTATCGTGCGATTATTTGTAATTTCATTGTTGATGATCAACACATGATCAAAACATGATCGACTTTTTGATCTTTTTTGAATGAAGGTTGAGAAAATAAGTACACTTAATTTCTTTTTTTTCTTTCTTATTAAAATAGATGTTTATTTGAAAATGGATGTTTATTTGAAAATAGATGTTTATTTGAAATAGGTGTTTATTAGCAAGATACAAGTATTTTGGACATGTATGGACCGTCGAGTTCATATCCCATTTTTCTGTAGTAGTTTCTCGTCCCGACACCTGAATAGAAATATATGTGCAATGATTTTTATTATATACTCCAAATGCATAATGTTTGAGATTTTTTCCACCTGATATGACAGAAATTTTGCGAGATCCGTGTTCCTCCTTTGCTATCCGCTCAGCTTCTTCCATTAATAGCATTCCAAAACCCTGATGCTGGAACTTTGTGGGATCACGAGCGTTTACTGGAACGACACTACCATATACGTGAAGTTCTCTCACTATGGAACATCTGTCTTTAAGTTCTGGCCTGTAATATGTATTGGATTGATATAATTACGCTTCTTTTAATTTTCTGACCATTTTGAGAATTTCAATATACCTAAACGTTCCGTCCGAACATTTTCTCAGCCTTAGTAAGCCAACCAAAATATCTTGCGTGGGATCTTCGTAAGACAAGAACGTTTCCCACCCACCATTGGCAACATAATCACGACGAACAAGTTCCACTTCATAAGGTTGTATCTTGTGGTGTATTTCTTGAATGCCCACTTCTCGAGTTCTAACATCCCGACAATCGGTACCCAATTCTTTCATTTTCGCCATTGCCAACTCGCGTAAATTTCCGTGTTCTACTCCCGAACTGAGTATTTCAAAATTAGGTTTAGCATAAATAAAGATAATAATAAAGTATAAATTGGATACGAGTAGTTGCAACTAGTATTACCTGACTAAAGGCATAGGTATATCTCTTTGTACACGGTATACGCGGGTCCAAGGTGGTACCAGAGCCAAAATACGAGCTATAAGATCTATTAAAACGTTCGGTGGATAGCTCTTATATCTTCCAGTTTTCCATAATTCATACAAGCCTGTACCGCGTATAACTAGAGTTGGATAAATTTTTAAACCATCTGCTCTGAAAGCAGGGTTTTCAAAGAATTCCTAAGACACGTACAATATATTAATTAAATTAAATATCAAGAACGAAGAAACATAATTTGCTCAAGTATGACTCACAATGAATTGATTAACATCTCTCTCTATATCGACGTTTGGTAAATCTGGCATCATATGTGCTATCACTTTGAAGCCCGCATCTTTCGATAATTGGAAACTCTCGCATACTGCACGAACCGTGTGTCCTCTGTTAGTATCTCGTGCAACATCCTCATATACAGACTGTACTCCAATTTCTAAACGTGTACACCTAAGTATATTAAATTTTTTCAAACACAAATTAAAAGGAAAGATAATTTATTTTGAAAAAATTATTCTAACGGAATGGCGTACCCGTAACGTAACATATCGGAAAGGTGTTTTTTAAGGCAATAATCTGGACGTGTCTCTATAGTGATACCGATGCACTTTGTGCGACTCCGTTCGGAATATTTTACAGCTTCGTCGACGTTGCTACTAACGTGACCAGACAGTGCATCGTGTAAATTTCGAATAAAATAATCTCTGTAATCTTCTGGCATAGACATGAATGTACCTCCCATAACAATAAATTCAATTTTATCTACATTATGGCCTAATTGTTTTAGCTGAAATATTTCGTAATAATTACTTAAGTAAATTTCATTTATACAGAAATATTTGATAACTTCTTGATTTTACCTGTTCTACACGGTGTCTGGTTTGCAAAAATGGATTATACCTTGCCCGAATGGCTCTCATAGATGTAGGCTCATAACCAGTATAAGATTGTGTGGAATATTCAAAATCAGAATCAGGTCCACCTGGACAATATACACAAATATTTCCTGTCATGCTGATATGGGGACACCTGTGGGGTTTGCACATCACAGCCACAACAGCTATCTATAAAGACCAAATTATCTATAAAGTGTTCTTTTTTGCTGTAATTTGTATTAATCATTCTATATTGTTAAATTTTTATTTCATCATAATTTTTCATGTTAATTGCAATATATTAAAAATACTAACTCCACTAGCAGTTCGAATTGGTTTTGCTTTTAATTTTGGTACCAATATACTTCTTGCATTAGGTGGTACAGATGCTATAATATCAACTAATCTAGGTGAAGTATCCAAGCCATATTTAGAAGCTATTCGTGTTTTTAATTTATTTAAATCAATATCTCTGTTTTCTTCATGTGCTTTCAGAAGTTCCTGGATAATTTCTCCAATGGTTATAACCATACGTTCTTCTTTACTCTGATCAAATACTACAATCAAATAGAATATGTTTAATAAAGTGGATTATATCTTGTATAAATGTTGCTGCAAAATGATCTACATATACTTTCATTGAAATACTATAACAGAATTTCCACATTTATAGTACTTACCTCTCTTTTTTCTAAACATTGTGATATTTTTAAAACAGGTTCTACAGAATTAGTAATAATGTACTTAGTGTTTTGTTTTGCAAAGTATAAACCTTTATAGCTGTTAAAAGAATATGCGATTTTAGGTTAACTTCATTCACACCTATTTTTTTGTCGTAAACTCTCTTGGTAAGAGCGCTGCCCTCTACCATAGACGAAATCAAGAATAGACGCATCAGACAACACATCCTTTTATCCCCATCCCGAGGGCTCTAGAGCCCCCTTATTATTTTCATGTCGTATGCAACGTTACCGACTTAGCATAGAATAAGATTACAATATTAGTAGTGGTTGGAATTAGAACTACATGTACGAATACAAATGTACATGTACAATAATGTACAATATTCGAATATTTGCATATGATTCCTTTGGAAATTAACGCCTGAATGACCCATATAAGATTATATTGCGAATCAATTCAAATAAGAGAATGAATGAATTTTATGCATATAATGTAAGCGCTATGTATGCGGTTAATGCATATATTTTCCATACAGATTGCGGCAAATCGTTCTCGAAAATTGCACATTGTTGTAAAACGGCGCGTAGCGCGAAATGTGGCAAATGCGTGTGTCGGGGATTGCAACTTTGTTGCCGGGAATCGCTCACGAAAATTGCACATTGTTGCAAACGCGTTATCGGATTTGCAACTTTGTTGTCGCGAAAATTGCACATTGTTGCACGACGCGCCGTTTTGCAACAATGTGCAAATTTTCAGGAGCGGCTTCCGACAACAAAGTTGCAATCCCCGACACACGCGTTTGCCACATTTCACGCTACGCATCGTTTTACAACAATATGCAATTTTCGGGAGCGATTCGCGCAACAAACTCTCCTAAATAATGATTTAGATGGTAGTTTATCGTTATTGGAAGTCTTAAATAGAATTATTACATGCATTAACCTAATAAAATAGCTTAAATTGTTAATTTCGTATTGAATTAACAATTGCATGCAGCAGGCATTTTACATTTAACATTTATTATAAATATTTCATTCGTTTAACATTACTTGTAGCGAGTAGATAGTGAAATAAAGCTTAAACTTTACTTTCAAGTATTTTAATTGTAGAATAACTAGAGTTTCTTGTTAAATAACAATTCAGATGGTTGTTTATCACTGTTGCAAGTGTCAAATAAAATTATTGTAAGCTTTACCATAATAGAACTGCTTAACATGTTAATTTCGCACTGAATTAACCATTGAATTCGGTAGATTCGTCGGAAATT